TTCCGTTTGACGCCCCCCCCCCCGCCATTCACCCACATGGACCTTGAGGTTTTATGTTTGAGTCTCACCAACTGACTCTCCCTCTCCTTCCAGGGGCCCTCTGGCCTCCCAGGGCTGAAGGGAGATGCTGGCCTCAAAGGGGAAAAGGTAAGGCCACCTCCTTCCATTATTTCCCTCCCCCTTCACCTCCATTTCCTCCTTGGCCAGAGGGCTGGGAGCCTGGGGTCTTACCAACCTGCACTATCCCCGATACCCCTTCTTCCTCCACATGCGACTTCTGTCCTCCAGGGCCACATCGGATTAATGGGCCTCATTGGCCCCCCTGGAGAGGCTGGTGAGAAAGGGGATCAGGGATTGCCAGGCGTGCAGGGCCCTCCTGGCCCCAAGGGAGAACCCGTGAGTGTGTGGGAAAAGGGCCCTCAAAGGAGGGCACAGTGGGGAGGCCGGTTTGCTTTGGGCTGCATTAGGGAAGCCTGGGTCTGGAATGATAGCGCTGTCTGGGGAGAATGGGGCTCCATCTGGGGACTTGAAGGCTGGAGGCTGTGTCTTGAGGGGACTGGAGGGGACCATGGAGATGATGACTCTGATGTCCTTTCTCCAGGGTCTCCCCGGTCCCATTGGCTCTCTGGGCCCCCCTGGGCCCCCGGGCGTGGCAGTGAGTATGAGGGGCCTGTGAGGTGGGGGTCAGCATGGTGAGCCAGCCAGGACTCCATCTCTCCCTGTCTCTGCTCCACAGGGCCCCCTGGGACAGAAGGGCTCAAAGGGGGGGCCGGTGAGTACTCCCTGCTCCCTTGGGCTCCCACGTTCCAGCTCCCCACCCCTTGCTACACCAGAGCCCTCAGTTCCTTTGCAGTCATTCATTTATTTAGTGATTCAATCACACATTCAACAAATACTTATTCAGCACCTACCATTGTATTTCATCAAATCTAAAATGCCATCAGTTGTAAGATGCACCATTATTTTATAAACTGCTATGAAAGAAAACAATTCTGCCAAATAACTATGACTTGCCAGAGATGGTAAGACGCTAATTTCAGAGATGTTAAAATATGGAAAGAAAATGGTATTTTATTCTTGGTGCTGACAATGCCATGTCCCACCCCAAGGGCTCTAGGTGTGTGTGCATGTGTGTGTGTGTTGGCAGGAAGGGGTCTCGTCTCCATAGACTGAGTTTACTCCCAAGTCATTTCTCCCTACAGGGATCCCTCGGCCCCCGTGGAGACACTGGCCCCCCAGGCCCCCCAGGTCCCCCGGTGAGTTCCCCAGGGATGAGGGTCGGAGTGTCCCACTGGGTCCCCCAGTGCTCAGAACCAGGTGGGGCACACACCAGACGTTCAGGGGAGGCAAGGCACACACCAGACGTTCAGGGGAGGCAGGGCACACACCAGATGTTCAGGGGAGGCAGGTGCCTTGAAAACCAAAGAGGGATCTGGGCTGTGTGTGGTGGGGGGAGATTAGGGGGACATCCATGGGACGCTGACCAGGTCTCCTCTCCATTCTGTCTTCCCCACCCTGTCTCTCCACCTCTCCTGTCTCTCCTGGCATTTCTCTGTCTCTGTCTCCAATGCTTGTTCCACTATTTAACCTGTTTTCTCCCCTCCCCCCCTCCTTCTCTCTATTGTGATGTCTTTGTACTCCTCTCGCGCCCTGTCTCTGAGTCTTTCTGTCTCTCTCCCTCCTGTGGTCTCTGTCCCCATCTCCCCGGTCCCTCTCCCTGTCTGTCTCGCTCTCCCTGTCTGTCTCGCTCCCTCACCTTTCTCATCTCTCCCGCCCCTGCCTCTCTGCCTGCCTGTCTCTCATTTCTGCCTGGATCTCTCCCTCTCTTCCTCCCTGGTCTCTGCCCTCCATCCCCATCTCTGCTCAGGGTCCCCCCGCAGAGCTGCACCGGCTGCGCCGGCGCCGGCGCTCTGTCCCAGGCCCCAGGGCGCTGGAGGCTCCGGAGGGCGGCCTGGAGGAGGTACTGGCCTCTCTCACGTCGCTGAGCCTGGAGCTGGAGCAGCTGCGGCGCCCTCCGGGCACTGCCCAGCGCCCCGGGCTGGTGTGCGACGAGCTGCACCGCAACCACCCGCACCTGCCCGACGGTGAGGCCCC